AACATGCGATAAATTACTAGAATGGTATTTATATTCACTCGCTATTTCGGACAACAGTTTAATATGGCCCTCAAGAAAGAACTTATGAGATGCTTCATTCTCAAATTTTCCAATGTTAAATCCACTGGAACTCCCCCAATTAATCCCCAACACTAATATAAATAGGCCCCTTAGCTTTCATCTTTTTATGTTTTAATTTTCCTTTTGGCTTTTTTTACACGCTTGACCTTTTTAACTATTATTTAAAAAAATAACATCATTTATTGTTTATTCCATAAAGAGCACTTTTTTTTTATTATTAGCATATTATAAAAATTAAGCTCAACGTACATTTAATAAGTTAACTGACACACTAATCACAGGAAGTACTTTTTTTGTCTATCTCCATTCTCTCTTTCCAACATTCATCTTCTTCACTCCATTTTTGTNAGATATATATTTTTATGTATATTTCACATGTCTAAGTGTCATCTTAATTGAAGATGTATTTTTTGTGTATATTTTTTTTTTATATATTTTATATAATTTAATTCAATGTATATTTTTTATATATACGTTTTGTATATATTAACATATATTATTATCGAAGTAAGATCTTTATGTTAAGAAAGGAAGAAAGAAGGAAGAGAAAAACTTAAGAAAGATAATTAAAAAGAAAACAAATGGAACAAATTTAGAAAATATATTGGCTTCGGCAGAAAACAAAATCAAGAAGATGAAGAAAAAGAAGGAAAGCTAATAGATAAAGAGAAAAAAAGGCATGATTTTTGTACAGAGAATTATTGACTTTCCATTCAAATTACTTATGTTTAGGGATTCATAATTAATATTTCTATTTTAATGGAACTGTGTGTTACAAATATAAATATTTTCCTGCTACAACTGTAATATTGGGTTTTATGTTAAGAATTTGTTATATTTCTTTTAAAATGTGACAGTTATATAAAGTTTCCTTAATTTTTAACTATGGTACTTACACTTAAATCCTTAATTGGTCGTTATTGCTGATGAGAAATGGTATATCCTATTGCATGCACTTACCGTTAGTTAAATCTCCAGTCTTTTTAGTGTTCTGACAAAGCCAGAAATGTGCATACGTTACTTTTAATAATAAATTAAAAGATATTTCATACTTGTCAATTTTTGTGATGGTATTTTCTATTTAGTTTGTCGTAAAAACAATATTTTTTTATAGTTAGAGACAATTAATCATAAAGTACTTCTCATCCTACCCTTTATAAGAAGTATGTAGCCACATAAATATGTATGCTTATTTTCGATCACAAATTTTAAAAATATTTTTTTCTTTCTAAAATTCTGTGTCTAGTCAAATACCATTAATTTTTTACTCCCTCCATCCTACTTTATGTGAAGGTATTACTATGGAATCAAATAGTTTTTTCTTTGATTACGATTTTCTCAAAAAGAATTTAAAAATATTTTATAACTAAAATTAGGTATTTTAACCCTGTACCCTTCACGAAAATTAAGACAGAGGGAGTACATATATAATTACTAGAAAACAAAACGATGATTTTTTATTTTTTTTAGAGAGAACTCGTTTTCATTAGAGTTTCAACTCGAGCGCGACTCTCATGTCATGCTAGAGACAAGAAGACGACAGTGATTAACAAATGCTAGCACACCATGTACTATTTCTGGAAATACGTCAAATTCATTAGGCATAATATACAGAGGGGGACTCAGGTTTTTAACGTGACGTGACGCCAGTATTCTGTTTAATTAGTGCCCTCTAAAGCCTTTTAGTGTTTGGGGTATCAAGTAATTTAAATTTATCATTTTCAAGATATATATATATATATATATATAAGATTTCTTTCGAAGTTTACGAGGTTCGGTAACCCCTCGAGGTTACAGATAGGTTCGCCTATGATAATATGCATGTGAAGAGACGACAAGTTTTGGCTGGCAACTTTTGCTTGTTCTTTAGGCTTCTTATATTTGTCCCTACAAATTGCCACCATGCTTTAGATATTCATGTGATAATAATTTTGATCCACATACTCACCCACTCCCCATTTAATTTGTTGTTTATGTATGGTACCAATCCATCATAATCTACTAGCTGGAGTTTTTCAACTTGTTCAAACAACAAAGTATTATTGGAAATGAATGTTTCACTTATTGTAGATTTGTAGTGTGACGGGAAAATGAAGAGGAAGTCAAAATACGGTGTGAATTCTAATGGTATTCCAAAACTAGGAAGAAAAAAACACTGACAATGTAAAGATCTTTTGCATTATTAATATTTTGATATGTTATAACAAGTTATTTTATTCTATTTTTTCAGGAATATCAGACATGTTATGATAGTGGTACTTATTATTGGTGTCGAGGATTTAAGCTATATATATAAACTTGAGTGTATATAGATTTTTACAACAACAGTATAATTTAATATGGTATATTATCACTTATCATTTATGCTAGCTTACCAATCAATTTATTAAGTTTGTGCACTTGTAATGTAGAAATTTTTTAACACTATTAGTGTTATATAACTTATTATAGCAAATTGTCACTCTATCGTATTTCCTTTATTTTAACAAAGCTTTCTCAAAGAAAGGACGTCACCTAACTAGTTACAAGTTTCCTATTAGAGCAATCAAAATTGAATTTCATTTTTCCTCGAGATGAATATCAGAATTCTTTTGTACACAATCATTGACTGATAACAGGAACTCTGGAAAAACTCGTTTGCTACACTCATTCAAAGACTAACATTAAAAATGTTGATAATAATTGGTAAGACCATTATTGTGTATTTTAGGAATTCTTTTACCCTCTCCTTTTTTTTTTGGTTCCTTTTATGACCAATCACATGTCTCTCAATCTACACTACCTTATATTATAAGATACTGATAATTTAAAAAAATTATTGTAACTCATTCCAGACCACCAATTTCTTTCAAGAAAACCAAAACTTTGAAAGGAAAATCTAAATAATAAAGATATAATGCATGTGACCTGGAACTTGCGTTGACCCCCCTTGAAAATTTGTTTGTGTATTTAGAAATAGAAAATAAAATAATAAGTTTTAAAACAATCTCTAGGTGATACCACAAAAATTGGAATCGACAACAAATATATCATGTATTTGTTGTGTTTCCTTTTTGAAATAAATATATGGCCCATGTATTTAATATTGGAGGTTATATATGGGGACCCCTAATCATAGCTATATGCGAATAAGAAAAAGCATGAAGAAATGGACATTTGATCTTCAAATATTTTTGATAGTGAGTGAAGATACCCCTTTTAACAAAGAGTATCTAATATATGTGAACCTAATTAAAGAGCTACGAATATTACATTTTATTTAGCGGACATAAAGTAAAATGCTCCAATATTGCTATTTTCTTTGTTTATGGGGAATGGTCAAACGACCTATACCCAAGTTTCCCAAACACAGGATTTGAGTATTGTTTGCAAAAATTATCGGCATTTAATTCATATTTCCGAGAATGAGTTACTAAAAAAAAGATACGGAGATAAGAGGAGAGTATAATTCATATTTAATACCCAAATCACGTTTAACAATGTAGTGCTATATAAATATGAATTTTTGTAAGCGTGGCGCGGACAAGAATACTGAATACGGCATCATATATTATGTAGCTTTATACGTATATAAGATATTATTCCAAGTATCAATCATAAAATTATGACTAAGTGGATTGGCCAACTTCCTTTGAAAGATTAGACTCAATTCTTAACAATCACTTGTGATAATCTACTAAAAAAAGAAGGAAATTTGCTTGAGATAATATTTATTTGCCACGAACTAGTATTAACTGCTTTAAAAAATTAGAAGTACTGCTTATATTTTAGGGAAAAGTACTAAAGGTAATTTTTTCAGCTGTGAACGAAGATTATATTGTTAATTGAGTAATAAGACATTTGACATGACATGATAAGGAGTATAGTTGATAATGAATGGTTTTGATTTGGGCAAAATATAAAATTGACAAGTCGGTTAAAATTAATTGCATTCACTAGCCTAAAATTAGAAATATGTATTTTTCATATATAATATACAAATATATATAAAAATATATACATTTTATTAACTACTATTAGCTTTGGGAATGACTAAAAATGTACATTTGTGTTTTGATTTCGGATTATTGGACAAGTTCGTGTAGTTGTATTATGAATGGGGGATTTGCAGTCATACCATATATTTGTGTCACCTTTTAACCTGTACCCTATTTTTTAAGATGATTTATTTGGTAGCCATCTCACAAAAAATCCGTAATAATATGATAATTACACCCCTGACAAAAGATATAAAACGATCTCCTCCTCTCCTCTCAGCAACTTTATAAAAAAATCATAAACTTGTCCAAATTAATTCAACCTTGAAGCTAAAACTTCATGCTAATGTAGCATGCAGTTATTTCATGTTGAAACTAAAACTCCATGATAATATAGCATGAAGTTGTTTCACATTGAAACTAAAACTTCATGCTAATGCATGCTGAACTTATTTATCCTGCAGTCTATATTTTTGCCATAAATTTTATCCGAAACTTCAGTCTAAACATGCTGAAGTTATTTAGTTCATTTGCTAAAACTTCAGACTAAACATGCTTAAGTTATTTAGTTCATTTGCTAAAACTTCAGACTAAACATGCACTACAATATTTTAGGCCTACAACCACACTAATTATAGACCACGCTTGAAAAGTGTTTCCAAAGATATCTATAGATACACTTTATAAGTGTGGCCTTTGATTAGAGTCTTCGGCCACGATTTTTAAGGCCACCCTTAAAAAGCGTGTTCTTAAAATATAAAGACCACACTTTTTAAATGTTGCCAATACACAAATTATGTGACAACGCTTATTAATCATAATGCAACGTTTTTGAAGAGTTGTTATATTATTATACTAATTGTAACTTTTTATAAGCGTAGTCTAAAAATATCTTATATAAAATTTTGCTCAAAATTTCGCTCCAAATATTACAATTAATGGAAATATTTCCCCCCAATACAAGACAATGAAATCATCGTCCAAATAATACTAGTGGGAAAACTTTCCTCAATTCTTTTCTCTCATCTGCCGCTTCACCTTCACTGCCTCCCTTAACCTAATTCATTCCTTTTCATTCATTGCTGCAACTGTCTTCCGGATTACTCTCACCCATAGCAAATCTCCATCCCTTTCTCTATTGGTAAGTATTTCTTTTGCTCAAAACTTTTAGGTTTTTTCCAATTTTTAGTTTTGTTCTTATACTTTAAGATTCAATTTTTCTAGTTTCTTACTAATGTGGATGAAAAACTAATCTTCTATTGTGTACAATATCTGGGTATCTTGGTACACTCTTTGTTTTATACTCAAAGCTTCGTGCCTTTATTCGTTCTACTAGAACGAAATTGGAAGCAGTTGATTCTGTAAGTATATGGTTCTGTGTTTATTATGAAAAAAGAAAATAAGGGGCTATATTATCGTTTATGCACAACTGTTTCAGTAGTTATCAAAACCCTCTTCCTCAAAGCTGCAGGTTGGTTTCTTTTGCTCTCAAAATTTCCTTCTTCCTACTGTGGAAAGTAGTTACTCTTTGGGAGTTATACTGGTTATTGAGTCTTGATTTTCTGTTTTTGTTAGTTGTCTTCTATATTAACTTCATCACTAGTCAAATTTTATCTTATTTTTTGTGGTGTGTTAATAATTGAGGTATAGGTTAATTTCACCGCATAAAAATTGTCAAATTATGTTGAATTCTCACAATATTGAATGCAATGTGTGTGTTGAATGAAACGGGTGAATATGTATAGTTGACCCAATTAGTTTGAGTTATAATACTAGAATGAGTTGGAAAATTGCGGCATGACCGAATATGTAAATGGATATGTTTGGAATATATGCTGGGCTTATTTATATCATAGTTGATGCTCTTCAAGAAAGATCGATGGAAAGATCAATAATTTCTTAAAATAGAGTGTATGTTGTAATGCTTAAGTTGTTACAATTACTACTGAAGAAAGATCATGGGAATCATATTTTCCTCATGCTCGGTGGGACTTGGGAACAAATATTGCTACTAAGTTATTAAAGAGTAGCTTATAGTTTGATTACTAATTTGGTGATTTTATGAAATAGCAACTCATAATTCTCAATTTGCTTTCATGGAACTCTCCCAGAGAAAGTGTATAAGCTTTTGTTCTCTTTTTTTTTGATTGATATAGAAGTGTACATTATCTGAGTCGTAATAACTTGAATTTGAAAGTTTTTTTGATCACTCAATGCTGGGGTTTTGATACTGGAAGTTTAGCGAATTCCCATTATTTCTTAGTTAGTTAGGCTAAACAAGAAGTGAAGAAGTTATGAGCCAATTGTTGGTCTGAACAGGTATGCTATTAGGTCAATTATCTTTTTAAAGATGTTATAGGAATAAGTTTTGGAATGACAAGGGAGGGATATCCTAGTGGTAAGGACCCTTTAGCTCCAATCATAAATTTAGTCGACACTTTATAATCTGACTTTCATTTATTTTTGTACTTTGTCGGAACACAGTGATGTTTTTTTATATTTTCTTTGATGTAATTTGTAGCGCGCAACCAAAGAGAACAACGAGGAACCATCAAAGTCTGAAATGTTTAATACAACTCGTACAAAGAAAGGGAAGGAAATTCATACGGATACTCAAGTTGCAATAGTAAGTCATGCTGCAAGTTAAGTCTTGTTATTGTATTTCATCTCTTTAACTGAATGTGTTTCTTTAACTGAAGGAAGTTCATACGTATAGCTGTAGTTTCTTTTGGAAAATATTGACCTTTAGCTTATTGTTCATGAATAGAGCAGTGTAAAATTTGTTTATAATTAAATCCTCCCCCTTCTCCTTGCTTACCTCATCATGGACAAAGTGTATCCCAACCTCTCATTTTTCTGTTCTGGTCCCCTTTGTTTAAACAACATTGCTTTGCATAAATGTTTGGTTGATCGTCCTGTTGGAGCTTAAAATCGAAGAGCTGCCAATTTTGGGCAGTGTTGGTGATCCTACTTAAAGCACTTCATCATCTGCACTCTCTTGATCAGCAGCATCAGTAGAAACATCTTCTTCATTCCCCCAATTCTCTTCTTCATCTTCCTCAACTTGTTCAACCCATGTTTTGGACTTACTAACGATCTCTCTCAAATTTGGTTATACAACTTCATTGTTATTTCTAGTGGACAACATCGACTGTCCAGATTCACCTCCATATTCACCAAACGACTCCACTGACTACGATGGTACTTCAAACACGGAAGTGTTTAGAGTAACCAATGGTTGCTTTACCATAGTGGCAATCAACACCATTGCATTCTGGGCTTCCTTGATGATTTTTTCAATGTGAGGACTAGAAAATTGCAGAGTAGGTGCATTAGAACTGTGAGCTTGACTGCATATTAGTTCAGCCACCAAATTCTTCTTTGAGTCATTTCGTCGAGCTCTCAATTCTGTACCAAAAAACTCACTGTTTTGCCCATGTTTACCACTGCTAGGACGAGTCAATATTTGTTGCTGCATCTTACTATCTTTTACTGTTGGTGAATTAATTCCAGTACTGCGATAATCTGATTTCCATGGCCTGGATTTTTCTTTTTGTTAAGTGATGGATGAGATCGAGTTACCTCTGTCCACTCTCGATCATTTAGTTGATTCACAGCTTGAGAACCCGATTTTAATACATGCGTGGCCTCATTCTCATGCACAACAGATATGTGCACATCAGTAGCAGCTGCAACTCCAAAACTTGACGCAACTCTAGCACCTTTTGTAGCACTAGGAATATTAGCTGATTTTTCACCCTTAGTTTTCTCAACTAGCTGCACCTCAAGACCCCTCTGCTCAATACCTGCTACATCATTTTCACGACCTAATGCAACAGTAGGAACAACTCCCCTTGTACCATCATCAGCTTGGCCTGCAACATTATGTGTAATCCTAGAAAACTTAGGATTAACATGCACAATGTTCTCACCTCCAGTTCTTTTTGCACCAGTTTCACCCTTAACACCTGCTAGTTTTCTAGCTGATTCACCTAGAGTTGCAGCAGGTTGATCAACCCCAGATCTTCTCTCTTGCTCAGCTGATACTAATTGCAAATTAGACTGTCCCTGACCACAATTAATTTACCCAGAACTAGGTTGAGCATCAGTTGCATTCTTGGCAGTGGCTTCACGATTAACCAATACTTCACTGCCTAAAACAATACCTGAATCTGTCATATCTGGATTTGTTTTTGGAAAATATTGATCTTTTTTTTATTGTTCATGAATAGAGCAGTGTAAATTTCGAAAGCTTCATCTTTATTGTAAAGCTTGCTTGTTTGAGATTATAAAATAATTTTTAGAGCCTATAAAGGAAGTTTTTGCAAATATGCTGTGGTGAATTCAGTTGTGGTTGTCGCAAGGTGTAAATTTATCCACCGGTTTGTAGAGGAAAACATGATAATATGCAGAAGTTTGGCAACAGAATAAGGTGGGTACTTGGAGAAAAAAATCAGTTCTGTTTGTTTGAAACTTCGTATTAAAATGGCTACGATCCTTGTCGCTGAAAATTCTATTGACATTCTTGGCTAAATTTTGAGGTCTGTAATCTAACTTGACTTGTTAAAACTTATTTTAGTGGTCGATCTATCTTGACTTGTAAGTGATGGGCAATAATATTTTTCTTTGACAGTCTGAACTTCAGAATCGTCAAAGTTCCGGAGAAACAACAGATGATGCATTTAGGGCTGTATTTGGAAAGGAGCAGCCTGGTCGGGTTAGATGCTATGGTAGATCGGCGACGACAAACTCTGAAAAAAGATGAAGAAATCACCAAGCTTAAACAAAAGCATGCCAACGAAATAACTTCTCTGAAGGAAGAAATGAAGGAAATGATGAGAGAAGAAATACGATATTTTTTTAGTCAATTGGTGAAAAACAACCCTGGACTGGATTTTCATGAAATTCAAGAGTGTGTTGGATCTAATATTCCTTCACCGGTTGATGCAAGTAGTGCACGAGCTATGAGAGGCCATAATCTACCATATTCTTCTGGCTCAACTCATGCCCCGAGTCTTGAAAAGGTATTTATATTTTACCAAATAGTATAATGGTAGGGGTAAATTTGATCGGATAGTATAACGAAGATAAAATATAGACAATATTTGAAAGTAGAGGGGTATATTTGGCCCTTTTCCCTTGTTAAATTAAGTGATTGTTGCGATTATAGAAGGAGATAGGTAAAATGTATGTTAATTCACATTTTTGTTTCTCTTTCACTTGTATATCTTTTTTGTGTTTGACATTGTTATGCTATAGTAGTGAAATAAAATCTCATTAGTTCTTAGTAAGATATAACCAGTGCATACTATATATTTGTTTCTTGCTAATTTTTAATTTCATTTTGAATGTGTAGGAAAATACGGGTGATGCAATTGGAAATGGTGGCTACAAATCAATTTGATTCATTAAAGTAAATGGTGAATACCTTTTGAACAATTGTGATGTTTATTTTTTTTTTATATTGATACAATAAATATTTTCACATTTGGNTAAATATTTAAAAAATTACTTCGTAGTGTAGACAAAATTGCCACGCTTAGAAAGTGTGGCCATAGAGATTGTCAATCTGGTGTTGTTAATGATAAATGTTGCTCTAGAAGCCACACTTTAAAAGCGTAGTCTATAACGTGACAAAGATCACGCTTCAAATGTGTAGCCATATGTCATAAAAGTGTGGCTATATGAGAAAATATAAGCGTGGCCTTTGTACCGTATCAGCCACACTTTTAAAGCGTGTCTTCTAAGGCAACACCTACAAAACGTGGCCAATAATCAAAGGTTACGGTACTTTAGGCCACCCCCCAAAAGGCGTTGCCTAAAGCCGTAAAGTATTACCTTTGACCAAATGCTGCACTTCTTGGCATCTTAGGCCACACTTCTCTGGGGTGGTTGTAGGCCTAAAATGCTGTAGTGATGCTTAAGTTATTTAGTTCATTTGTTAAAATTTCAGACTAAACATGCTTAAGTTATTTAGTTCATTTGCTAAAACTTCAGACTAAATATGCTTAAGTTATTTAGTTCATTTGCTAAAACTTCAGACTAAACATGCTTAAGTTTTTGTCTTGTAGTATGTAATTTTCTAATGAGTTTTTGCTAATGCATGTTGAAGTTATTTAGTTCATTTGCTAAAACTTCAGACAAAACATGCTGAAGTCATTTAGTTCAATTACTAAAATTTCAGACAAAACATGCTGAAGTTTTTTAGTTTATTTGCTAAAACTTCAGACAAAACATGCTGAAGTTTTTTAGTTTATTTGCTAAAACTTCAGACTAAACATGCTTAAATTTTTGTCTTGCGGTATGTAATTTTCTAAAGAGTTTTTGCTAATGCATGCTGAAATTATTTAGTTCATTTGCTAAAACTTCATACCAAAACATGCTGAAGTTTTGTAACGCAGTCTACAGTTTTGTCCTGAGTTTTATCCGAAACTTCGGTCTAAACAAGCTGAAATTTTTTAGCTAGCGTTTGGCCATAAATTCTCAAATTTATTCTGAAAAATCTGATTTGGGTGAAGTTTGGTTTGAAGATGAAAATGTGTTTGGACATATGTTTTGGGTGAAGTTTAATTTGGAAAAACATGAAAAATGACTTATACCCACAAGTTCTAAAAACTATCACACATACCCAAGAGTACCATTATCAATAACATTCATTATATTATCACAAACCATAGTCCTGAACATAAATAAATTTGATACAAAATTATTATTTTTATAATGAACTACATGATACACTCTCAGATGACCGAGAAGATGAAGCAACATCGTTACAAAATAATAAATGGTGGGCTCTTTTATAAAATATAAAAGTTTGGGATAATTTTTAAAAAATATAATAGTTATATTTTGGCCCAAAATAAGCTATTGAGCTGGTTTTGGGATTTGGCCAAAATGTAGGCAAAATCTATTGCCAAACATGTGTTTGTCAAATAAAACCCAAGTTTATTTTGGCAAAATCTATGGCCAAATGGGTCCTTAGTTTATTTACTAAAACTTCAGCCTAAACATTCTTAAGTTTTTGTCTTGCAGTTTGTCAATAGTCTTTTATTAAAAAAGGGCAAAATCATCTTTTTAAAATGCTTTTAACAAAAAAATAGGTACAAATGCAAACGAAAAAATAAAATGGGTATAAGTTAAAAAGGGGCGACTAAATAGGACGCCCAATGCAATTTTTAGATTATGACTGATTTTGGACTATTGAACAGGTGAGGTTAGAGGCCCAAGTATGGCCTTACTACAATGGTATATAGAAAGGAGATTAATTCTTTTCTTTAGGCTTATAAATTGTTTATTGAAGTCATCCTTGTCATCTATTGATCTTATTATACTAAGAGCCTGTTTGGACAAAGAAAATTTTCCTTTTTTCAATTTTTCTTTTGAAAACAATGTTTGGTTATTAAAATCTTATAATTTTTTCAATCTCACTTGAAAATGGGAAGGTTGCTAGTATTTTGTTGTAAAATATGTAGAAAAAAAAGATATTCAAATATGTTGCAAAAATTATAACCAAACACAACTTCATCTTCAATTTAAATTTTAGTGAAATTTCAAAATTGAAAAAAAAAATTTGGAATTCATGTCCAAATGCCTACTAAAAATGCAGAGGTAAATAAAAACCTTGTTAGATAATCCTTTGACTATACTTTTACTTAGCCGAAGATCTACCGAAAATAACATCTTTACCTTCACAAAGTGAGAGTAAGGTCTGCGTACACACTATCTTCCCCAAACTCCTTGTGTGATTATACTAGTTTTATTGTTATTATTGTTATTGTCGGATCATATAATATTGAAAAGGACCTTATAATTATTATTTTCTAAATTTCATTAGCTTAGCAGAGCTAATAGCAAACATAATAAGTGTACTGCAAATTGAACTTTCTGGCCGTCATCTTTAAGAGATTAATGATTCCTTACAAATGATGACAAGGTGACAAAGCAATACATAAGTTACATGAATAAATAGAGCAAAAGTCCAAAATCATAAATTATCTTTAGTTTTAGACTTAAAGTCATACATATTCTTTTATATGGAGTACTAATAGTCCATTTACTTTAACAAAGTGGTGCACTTTTAGCCATAACACTGAGAAAAAGTCAAAAAATATATATTATCTTTGGCTTTAGACTCAAAGTCATACATATTCTTTCACATGGAGCACTAATAGTCCATTTACTTTAACAAAGTGGTGCACTTTTAGCCATAACACTGAGAAAAAGTCAAAAAATATATATTATCTTTGGCTTTAGACTCAAAGTCATACATATTCTTTCACATGGAGCACTAATAGTCCATTTACTTTAACAAATTGATACACTTTTAGTTATAACACTAAACATATTTTAATTTTTAATAAAAATTTAAGATCTGACAAAATATCTGTTCCATTTATTTTTTTGTTTACCGAAAGAAATAAAGTACAACGAAGACAACTTTCAGAAGTCAGAAAACTACGGCACAAATGGTTAAAAGGGGCTAGCTGTCTCTCACAAATTTCTGGGGAACAAATAGCAACTATACTTATTTAAAAGTAAAGTGATAATATCAATCTGTCTAAATGTTTTTATTGAAATGGGGTCAGGCTGTCTAAATGTTAGTTTAATGTTCAGAAGAAGAAGAAAAAGAAAGTGTCTCCCAACACTAACAAATAGGGTCAGCCAAATATTAATGACAAAACAAACCTTTCCCCACTAATATTGATTGCTTTTAAACGTGATGATTACTACTTTCTTTTTATTTTCAATTTAGGCCACTCTTTGAGAACCCAAAAATTTCACTAGTTAGGAGAGACGACATATTCTTGAAATCAATGGCTGGTTATGGTTGGTGACCCCTAAATAAATAGGAGATTTGTTTCAAATTGGACCGTATGTAACTAGAAAGTAGAAATTAATTGTTCTTTTTTTTTTCACTTTTAGCTTGCGCCAAAAATTATTTACATTCGGTAATCGAAAAAGTATATAAATTTTTTACATATATATATATATATAT